GGCCTGCAAAACCAAAGCAAAAAAGCCATAGAATAATCAACTTATTAAGCTCGAACGTTTGGTCTTTACGCGAGGAATTTCAAACCTCACCCTTGCCGTATGAACCTTATTGCTTGGTCAATATGGCAAGGTCTTGGTTTGAGATTTTCCCTTAAAGACCTCACTCTTGGTTAATAAGTAGTTATTAATCACTTTGCTTACCTGGTCACTTCTCCAAGCTGATTGTAAAGGCTATGAACCACTTGGTTTTCTGTTAAAATCCCATCTGGAAAAGAAGCATAATACTTGGTTTTAGTTGCCATCAAGACAACATCTCCTCAATGTTTCTACACTGCATAAAATTGTATTTCAAAGAGTTAACAGATGTAAATAAATTTAAAGCAAGCATGGTCCCAACCAAAAGCATATCAAATCTTTTGTACGTTGCCATCCTCCCCTAACGTTACTCCCATATGAATAGGTCAGGGATGACATCCAAAAATTTGAAATAAGCCCTAAAGGAAACTAATATGGACATGGCTAGTGCTTTATTTGACCCCTAAAAGATACCCTCCTTAAAATGGAGATGACTGCATTTTATTTTTTGTAGTTTTTTGAGGGAAGCCCTAAAAGATACGTTAATGACTAAAATAGTGGTACTTTGTCCTGAACACCCTAAGTTAGACAAAAATTGGTGATTGACTGCCCTAAACAAGATGACGAGCATCCCTGACTTTCCGCATGGGAGTCCCCCTTCCCCAACTATCCCCCCAACTATCCCCCCACAAAACCTAAAATAGTCAGAGACAACAAATGGACTTAAAGCAAGGATACACATGACCTAATGTAGATGTCTATATGTAACAGTTACTTAACTAGCATGGATTCTTGGTTCTCCTTTACGTGAAAAGCAAATAAAAGCAACGTTGATGTAAATACGAAAGTTTACATGCACACACATTGTGATGTTTGAAATTTAGTTCTCTACTTTCTTGCATTATCTGAAGAAGGATGAGTTGGAATTCATGACGACTATATCAAACGTTGTCAACTAGGTTGACTATTGTTCTGACACCATGCATGCATACTAAGTACTCCCAACTTTGGAAACATTGATGCTGTGGTGTAATTTAATTTTAACAAAAACGGTTGCGTATTAAATAATGCAGTATTTTTTTGTTAGCTGTGTGGAAATATTTCCAAAACATTTTATGTGATCCTTGTTCTGAGACTTGCAGAATGGAATTAAATACACCTTCATGCAAATGTACATGTAAGCCGACACCTAAAACTCAACTCAAAGAGTGACTCAATTCTTAACACTTGATTCATCCTCACAAATATCACCATACTGAAGCATTCTTGATTATTCATACTTTAAGTTTTGGCATCAAGCAAACAATTTTTTTGCAGTTTGCTCTTCTTTTAGTTGGGAGGTGTAACAAAACACTTAATGACTGGCCCAACAGGAAACACTGGATTTGTTTCCCTGAAACCCTCAATGTTTGCCGAGGTGAAGCTTAGGGGAACACTGAGGGTCTCAAGGAAACAAAACTCCATGTTTCCCTTGTGACCAGTCATTAAGTGCTTATTATACCTGTCTTTGACTCTACATTAATTTTATAAGGAAAATGAGAGCGGAAATAATTTAGCTTAAAGAGTTTTGGCAGTAAACTATAGTTCTCTAAAAAAAATGGCTTAAAAACACAGCTTTGGTGAGATATTCACTATGGAAAATACAATAAGTAATGGGTAATAGCATCTCTAAAATAATGAAAAGCCACAGAATGTCAGATTTAATTCAGCTACATAGACTTTGATACAGTTTGTTGAATTGAAAAGGCTTGTAACATGTACAACAAAAGCAACTGAATGAAGAAAAAAGGTAGCAAAATCAAAGGGAATATCCACGACAGTTTTGTTCAAAAATTGAAATTGAACTCAGATTTTAGGTATACAATTCAGGTTTGCGCTTCAGCTGAGTTTTTAACCTTACAGTTAGGTCCTGTGCTCCTATACTTTGGGGAACTTTACCTATCCTGAGCAATAAATTATTTAAGAAATAGAAAACATGTACCGTGTTTCTATCGAGTTATAGAAACACAAGTGGAAGTTTGGGAGAATGAGAAATGCTGTGGGAACAAGCCGTGGGTGAGTGTTTCCACGGCTTTTTTGAGTTCTTCAAAAACTTTCACGAGTGTTTCTATTTAACAATTAGATTACAGTATGAGCTCGAGATTTCTATCACATGATAGATGATGAGGCGCAGCCCGAGTCAACTATCACACATACAAATTGAGAGTGAATAATCTAATTGTTTTAGTATAAATCTACTANAATATAATCATCAGCTTACCTTCAAACGGAGATCTTCTGAGTTTGTCAACAAACGCACACACAACGTCTCCATATTCTACCTCCTGGTTCCAAAACGTAATAAAAGTATAGTAAATCGACTTATATCTGTTATACCTGGTTTAAAGCGTTTTTAAACAAAGAACAAACCTGTTAAACTCAATTTTTTTCATTGTTTTCTTGCACACGTGCCAAAATGGCGGAGACGAACCACACTCGCAAAGATCCCTGGGGGATAGCTCCGACGGAAAAATGGCGGGAAAAGGCCAACCTCCGCCATTTTGAAAATCGTCGAGAAGAAGGCCCTGGGGACAAGGTTGAGGAAAAGGCCGTTGGGAGGTGGGACGAAGGAAGTCTGGGAGTAGGGAGCAGGGAGGGACCCGGCGGGGAATTCGATATGAAAATGACGGGGTTGCTCGTCGTACCTTTTAGGGGTTGAAAAAGCGGTTTTGGTACCGAAAAAAATTGACAGGAGGTAATGTGGTTTGCTTTAGAACTGGTACCTCTTAGAAAAGAGTCCCCCCGGGGGAGGGGTCACCTACGGGAAAGAAGGCATCTCAATCACTCCAAATCCAAACATTTCCCAACAATTTAATCAATAATGAGTGTAAGCAGGCTAACCAGGGCTGATAAAAATTTTAAAACATAATTAAATTTTGCGTCTTGATATGGTGAAAATTCTAATAACTAAGGATTTCAACATCGCTGTGGGAGTGAAAGACACTTTATGCACAGGTCTCCACACTACATTGACGGCATATAACTTGCTGTGTGTGGTCGATCTCGGACTATGCCATTAGGTTCAGAGGGCTTTATTTGAGTGTTCCGAAGACCACCACATAGAAAACGATCAAACTTGAAGCTAAAAACCGCATGATCGCCCCTACAAACCTACGACGCACTTCGACGATGAACCACAACACGAATAAATGCTATTCGATTCCATTCATTTCCCCTAAACGGAGTTATCTGGTTATTCAGCAAAACGAAGGTATCAGCAACAGACATTTTTGACTCAGCCTGTTTTCTTCTCATCATTTTAAGGTAAGCAGTGAGGCGAGGGTTTGTGTGTGGAAGTTCCAAGATAACTTTTGCACAACTCAAAAACAAAACGTTTGACAAATGACATAAGTGTTATCATCGTGCTTTTTCTTATCTTGTGCACTTCAAAATTATCATTTAGTTGTAATAAAATCCCCCCAGCCTTCTCAATATAATCACTAGAATGCGAAGAGTGGATCAAGTCTTCTCTCAAATCCGTGTTGAACAACTCAAGCGAAATAAAATTGTCGTGGTGTCAGTACCTTATGTTCGAACCACGAGTATCTTGTGGCCTCAGTGCTGCAGAGAAATTAGAATGAGGCTAAACTGCCCGAAGCTTCGATCGCCGCTTGCCTTACTGACCACGCTATCTTCCCTTTCGCTGTACAATATAACTAATAAAATGTTAAACTGGGCAGCTTTTGGTCCCTTTATTTTGTTGAGTGTTCTTTTACGAAAGAGGCGAGGCCACGATCCAGGAGTCTGGTGAGTATTCAAGCACTCGCGCGCAAAAAATAACCCTCCAGCTACCCAGACTATCTCTTTCAGCGCGTGTGATGTGACAAAATTTTAGCCTCCTTTCTTTTAGGCTCGTCACGCAATCTTAACTTCTGCCTGTCGAGTCAAAGAGTTTCAGCGTGAATACAAGATATTTTCAGAGCCATCGAGTCGAACACAATGCAAGTAAGAAGTTTGACGTTTGTTGACCATCAAATTGGTTTAGGAGGCAAAATGTTTAGAACTTCGTAAAAACGGTCTTAAAATATGCACATTCAAGGAGTGAAAGCTACCGTGGGAATAAAAACATAAAACTATACTGTTGGTCATTGAATTTTGTATCATTTGATTTGTTTTGGCGGGAAACCCACAAGGTGAGTTTACCTGCTGGTGGTGTACTTGGTCATAGCCTTGGTTGCTTCACTCATATTGTGTTTGGTCAGTTCACCGGGCAGAAGCAGCCTGATGGCGGTCTGGATCTCGCGGGAGCT